GCGCCGCGCCCCGGCCCGACCCCTCCGCGGCCGGGGCTTCCCGGAGCCCCGCGCCGCGACCGCTCCCGCTCGGAGGCCGCGGAGAGCGCGCTCCCCGCACTGGCCGCCGCGCTGCGCTCGCAGGCCCGGGAGGGCGGCTCTGGGCGCCGAGCCCGGGCGAGCACTGCCCGGCGGCCGGTTCCTGCGGGCGCCGGGGCCGGCAGGCGGCAGCTTTCTCCCGGCCTGCCCGCGCTGGCCTGGCGGCGAAGTGGCTTCGGGAGCTGTGGACAAAGGCCAGGCCGCCTGTCCCCCAAGAAGAAACTGTTTTCCTGCCGGGAGTCGGGGCGGGGCGGTGTTGGCGGCAGATGGGGACTGGCATGCCCGGCAGGAGGAGGATGGCTGCGAGGAGGCGGCTTTGAGAACGATCCTGCTTTCCCTTTGTGTCTTCTCAGCCCCCCGAGCAGCCTGTAGCCCATGGTGGTGCGTTTAGAGAGGGCTCAGGGGCCTGCCCAGGCCTGGCATCGGGGTGGGAGGTACTTCTGCCCTACCCCGAGTTACTCTGTCCACCTTTCCAGGGCCCTGTGGGGGAGAGGGGAGGGAAGGAGTTAAATCCTCAACCCACATGGCTCCTTTATTTACCATGATGGAGGAGGGAGGCCATTCCAAGAGCTGGGGGTCATTAGGGGACACTCTCTGATGTCACCGGTGAGGGCTCTGTAGCCTGACAGGTTTGCTGAAGCCACTGAAATGCCCAAGTGAAAAAGCTGTGCCCTCCTGTGCCTCCCCCTGCATGGGGGAGCTCTGGGTGGGGGTGGTGCGGGGAGAGCCCACATGCCAATTGCATGAGCTGGTCTGAAGAAGGGGCACAGCCCCAGGGCACCCCCCAATCTGGTGGCAGTTAGCTCTGGGCTCTGAGCTGCTAGGTGATGGGTGTCCCCAGTGAGCAGGGCAGGGGGACAGGCCCTCGGCCTCCCCAAGGCTGTCCCTGCTCAGGATGGTTGGCATGGCTCTGTCCAGCAGAGCTGGGTGTCCTGAGTGTGGGGGGGTGGGCAGCTGCCCCTGCTTCCTTGCCGAGTGGGGCGGGCCGGGCCCCTCCAGAGATGCTCCCTGTTTGGTTGGCACCCTCGGTGGGGAGGGGAAGCGGGAGCTGCTCGCTGACTCTGCCCATGTCCTCTCCTGGGCCACAACCCCAGGCAAAGCAGCAGGCGAAAGCAAAGGCTACCCCTGGAGGGGGGCGCTTGAGGGGTGCTGGGCAGTTCTCTGCCCCCCTTCTCAAGGTCAGTGTGGCACAGCGGAGAGGAGGGTACTGTCACCCACTAGCTGTGTGTCCCTGTAAATGGAGATAATCAGACCTGCTCCCCGCCAGTCCCCCTGGGTGGACAAGGTGGCCATCAAAGCCCTTCAGGGGCCTAGACACTGTCTTGGCAGACACGGTCTCTGTGCAGCCCTCTGGCTTTGCCCTGTGAGATCAGGGGGACCTGCCTTGAGTTCGGCTGTGATGTCTTGTGCCAGGGCAAGGACTGCCGCCAGCCCACGCTGTGCCGGGGACCCCGAGAGCGCTGCCCCCACTGACCCCTTTGTGTCTCCCACAGTGAACATCTTTCTCACTGGGAGGCTCAGCAGCGCAGTTCCTGCCTTAGGTAAGTCAGCTGCTTCGCCCCTTCCTCCTCTCCTCCCCAGCCTTCCTCTGGGCTAGTGACCTCTGGGGACAGGCCTTCAGGGTCCTGGTTCCACCCTGACATCCTCGTGCATCTTTTCTGCATCATAAAGGAGCAGTGTGGCCTTGGGCAAGCTTAAACTTCTGTGAGCCTCAGTTTCCTCGTCTGTAAAATGGGTGAAATAACAGGATTTGCCTGAAAATCTGGCTGTTAGGGTTCATTGAGCCAATGAAGCGAGGTGCTCAGCATGGTGTCTGGCGCATGGTGGCTTAATAGCGCTAGCAATCTGCCAAGGGTCCCGTATAACTGACATATTGTGCCTTCCGTAGGCCGTGGAGTTCCCAGAGGACCGGGAGGTGCCATGAGATGTCCATTTGTTTTAAAATAATCCCTAGGGTTTAATTCGTAGAGTTATGACTGATGACACAGAGAGGCCGATGCCATCGAAAGAAGAATTTATCACTTTTCTTGAGAGGAGAGGACACACCCTGCCACAGAGGGCCACGGGGGGATGACTAGGTGTGGTCAGGCAGAAGCAGGAGCTCGAGAAAGGCACAGGCCAGAGCCCTTGTTGGGGTTTGCACAGGGAAGTCGAGGCAAGGCAGAGTAAACAGCTTAGGACTGGCGACTTTGAATAATTCTAGCAGGTTTGAGCTATGGAGGTGGCCTCTAGTTGCCCGGTTCCTGGTCTGGGGTGCTCTAGGGCAGGGGAAATACTGTCTTGGTGTGTGACCCTTAGACAAGAAGGAGGGCGGTGGGCACAGCCTTGGATCAGCTGGTCTGCAGGTGACAGGTGAGCCAACTTGCAGGAGAGAGGTAGACACTGGCCGACGGTGCCCACAGAATCCAAGAGCAGGGTTAGAACACTGCCCTGCCTCCTGCCGTCTGTCCAGCCACCGCCGTCTTTGCACGCGTCGGTAAGCCCAGGCCCCCCTGGCCCTCAGTGTCGCCAGGAGAGTTCTGAGAAAGGCCCCAGGGAGCCTGTTCTATGATTGCTAAACCTCCCCATCTCTTGCTAATTCAGCCAATATACCGCCATCGCCAGCAAACCCTAGAAAGTAAAAAAGTAAGCACAAGTATTCACGTGAAAACGTGAGGTCAAGGTGTAGCCAGGGGGAGGGTCGCCAGTCTGGAGCCCTCTGACTTGTCTGTCGCAGGTTGTGCTGCATGGGGTGGGGGCCGGGGGGGTGCAGGCGGTGCCTGGGGTTTCCAGTTCTGCTCGTGGCCCAGCTTGCAGCAGAAACCCACGGAGGCTGGCTCAGGAGTTAGTTAGGACCTGGCGCTCGGGGAGAGGGACCCCTGCTGGCTGCGGTCACTGGGGTCGGAGGCCCAGGGTGCACAGAAGCATTTCTCACTGGCCTGTCTCCCCGGCTCTGCCTCTGCCTCGCCCTCGCTGTTCTCCGCACTGAGCTCCGAGCCCTGCAGCCCGGCCGCCTTTGCTGAGTGGGCTGCCCCAGGGCTGCCTTGCTCAGCGCCGGCCCAGCCGCCAGAGCTACGGCCGCGTCTCCCATCCCAATTTCCAGGCAAAGACTGGCTGGCCCAGCCTGGGTCAGATGCCTGTGGCCGTGGTAGAGAGTTGGGGGGAAAGAGGGGATGGGGTGGGGGGGCTCGTGACTTACAAACGTGAGCCCCAGGCCAGCCCTTGTGCTGGTGTGGTCGGTGGGCTTGTCGCCCCAAACGTGTCTGCCGTGTGCACATACCCCATGTTTAGAAAAGTAACGCTTAGGGGAAAAGGGCCACTCGTGGCACTAGGGGGAGAAAGGCATCCACCCAGGTCCTCGTGTTTGGTGGTTCTTAGTTGTCAAGACCTCGGGCCCAGCAGGGTCCACATTGCCTAACTCCAGGGGCTGCGTGCACAGCCGGCGTGGCCGTGGGTGGTGGTCTCGGCCCGAGCTCTCGGAGTCTGGTGTTGATGCCCCTGGCGTTGCTGACCAGCTTCAGGCCGCCGAACGGCCCCCTGCCGCCGTGGCGCCGAGACTCCGCATCTTCAGGGCTTTTCCTGGGGGTCCTGCCGCGAGGGAGCCTGGGTCAGGCACTGTGCCCCACAGCCCTCTCGGCCCTCACTGGGCCCAGGTGCTCCTGAGAGCCCAGCCGGGCTGCCCGGGGACCTCACGGGGTTTGGCCGCTCGCCCCTGTCCACCTTATTGTCGGGCACTGTCGGGCCAGAAGAGCCACTTCCTGCTCCCCCCGACCCCTGGCCTCTGGGCTCTGCCACAGGCCACTGTGGCCCCAGCAGGGGGAGCCTGGGCAGGGTCTTCACGTGGCTCCCCAGTCCCCGGGCAACTCCCGGCGCGTCTGGGGTGGGCCTCCCAGCTCTCCCTCGTCGGTGACACCGGGCGGGCTGTCCGGAGTATTGATCGCCTCTCGAAACCGGATCTGCAAATTGTGCTTCATCAGGCCTCGCTCTGTCCTCTCAGGAGTATTCGACGACTCTTTGGGCCAGGAGGGAAGGACGCCGGCCTGAAAGTGCCCTGTCATTCCTTGCCCACTTGAGCAGGCCACCTTGGCCCCTGGGCCCGAGGCCATCTTCTGCCCAGGGGAAGGCAGGCGCCTCCAGTTAGAGCTCAGACGGCCTCTCGGACCGCCCCCAAGCCCGCCAAACCCCTCTCTACGCATCAGTGTCCCCCCAAACACACAATCCACCTCTCCTCACTGCCCTCCCCGCATCACACGGCCTGTCACCAGCCCCACCCCCACCAGGCATCCTCAGAGACTCCCCTGCCCCATTGGCACCCCATCCCCCAACGTGAACGTCTGCCTGGAGACTGCCCTTTCCAGAGTTTCCAAGCCGTGCCTCAGAGACAGGCAACACCCACTGGCTCCATTTTACAGATGGACAAGCTGAGGCCCAGGGCAGAACAGTGTGTCTGGCAGTGTGGTCCTGGGACTGGATTCACGAGGCCCTCCCCTGCTGGTGCCGGGCTCTGGGCGGTGTGTTAGGGTGGGGCTGAGGCCTGCCTCACAGAGAGCGCTGGGGTGGCCGTCTGAGCTGGCGGCACCCTCCGGCCCATGGCCAAGCATCTAGTCAGGAGCCTCTGCCCAGAGCTCCCAGCCCCCTGCACGGGCCCAGCCTCGCCCCTGCCCCGCACCCGTCTGCATGGGGTCGGGCCGATGGGTGCACAAACCACGGTCTCGCGGCCCCCTTTGGAGAAGAGAAAAAAGTTAAGCGAGTGCCAATGCCGCTGTTGCCCCGATTTGGGAATTTCTGGGGTGCCCTCTGGGGTCAGGCTGTTTGGGGGTCTGCTGGGGCTTTGTTGAGAGGCAGAGCTGGCTGGCAGTGGCCAGCCAGACGTTCATGTTGGGGGGTGGGGTGCCCATGGGGCAGTCATCTGCTCCCGATGTGGCCGGCGGGCTGGAGAGACAGGCCTCCCGATCCCTGAACGGGTGGCCAGGCATCGGTCTAGCAGGGGGAAGTATTGTGGCTGAGGTGGCCAGAAGAGAGGAAGGTGGCAGGTGACACCCAGCATGAGGGCCTGGCTTTCCCCCGGGCCAGTCTGGGTGAGACAGACACCTGGCCTCGGTGAATACCTTGAAGACAGGCAGGTTTACCTCTGTGTCCTAGGGAAGGCCTGTGGGGCCAGGGTAAGGACAGACAGGTCCCTGCGTGGCGCTGGGCTGTCCTTGGGGCTGAGGGTGCCGGTAAACGAAGGGTGTCCCACCCTCGCTGACTTGAGGCCGCCCGACCCAGAGGCCCGATGCTTTGGTTTAACTTGTGCTTTGGAGACTTGTGGGAAGATGCGCCCCAGCCTTGCTGGGCCTCCCCCAGGAACCCCCTGCCCAGCACCCTCTGGGCGGAAACGCCTCTTCTGGGCTCGACAACCCCGCTTCTCCGGGGCGTTGCAGGTCAGCGCCAGGGGCCCTGTGAGGTCTGCATGGCTGGCGGCCCCACCTGGCAAAGGGCACCAGGCTGGGGCTGGGCGTGCTTGGCGTGTTTGGGGTGCTGTGTCCTGAGACTCCGCTCCGTTAGTGTAGTCCAGGCCTCCTGGGCGGGGGACAGCGTGCGCGGCTGCCACTCGCGCGGTGAGGAGTCTGAGGTTCGCAGAGGCGCCTCCCGCGGGCAGGTGTGAGTGGCGGGTGGGCAGGCGCTCAGGCCCTGGCTTGCACCTCGCTGACCCGGGACCGTTCAGGGTCTCATGGTGACGCGATGGTGGCCAGCCTTGCTTGAGGACTAAGGGTGGGTGTTTCTGTTCCTGTCCTTGGAGGCTCTTGTGAGCCTTCGGAGAGGCGCTTGGTTGGTGGGTGTCACCAACGCCCCCTTAGTCGCGGCGTCTGACCACCTGGAGCTCCGCAGTCACCGCAGGCCCCGTGGGGAGGGGTTCGGCTCGTGTCTCTGGATACCCTGCAGGGGCCTGAACTGACCAGTTCGCTCGGTGACCCCCACTGACTGACCCCGGCCATGTAGGCGGGACCCTGCGACGCAGCGTTGGGCCAGAGCCAGCGCGGCCCCTGCCTTCCCGGGGGAAGACTTCCATCCCATAATCCCAGGAACAAGCGGGAACTTGCTGCTGGGGCAGGGGCTGGGGGGCTGGAGCCGTGCTGGGGGCAGCTGGGGAGGGCTTCCCTGGAAGGGACCACGGAGCTGAGCGGAGCGAGTGATCAGCACTAGGGGGAGGGAGGGCACTCGGGGACCTGTAGAAGCAAAGTCTCCCCGACTGAGGGATCATGGGAGGAGCGGGTTGGGTGGCCAGGGGGTCGCGGGAGGTGTGAGGCAGAGGGGCGGGCAGGGAGGGGGCCGGGGCCACTGCAATGAGTTGTGCGCTTGTCCTAAGAGCATCGGAGGCAGCCAGAGGGCTCCCCTCCTTCCTGCAGCTGCTCCGTTTGGGGTCCCCGAGAGTCTTGCTGAGAGCGAGAGACAAGGCTGCCTCCAGGGCAACAGCAGCAGGTGCCAGCCGTAGGAGGGTGACAAGGTGGTGTCACTGGCTCTGGTGACTTGCCTTCTTGAGCCTTGGTTTCTCCATCTGGTTCTGCCATCTACCTCCCGTGGCTTCCCGCTCACACTCGGGATAAAGCCCAAATTCTGTACAAGGTGTGGTCAGCCCCAGCTTGTGTTTCTAGCCACGTCTGGACATTGCCACCCGCCTCCAGGTCTGTTTTACCGTCTTCAGCTGGGGTTCTGTGTAAAGTTTATCTTCTCCCCTCCCCAGCCTGTGAGTTCCATTCAGGGGGCCTTCTCCTGTCTTACTTAGCGTGCCTGTCACTGTGCTCAGTGCGTAGTAGCTGCTCACTAAATGCTGAGGGAGCAAAGCTCCTCTCCTCCCTCGGCTGAGATCTGCCTTCCGAGGGAGGGCAGGCGGGGGACCATAGCAGGGTGGCCTGTGCAGGCCTCACAGGACTAGGGGTGCAGAGTTCTCCACTGATCCTGTGCCTTGGAGGTGCTGGCTGCCAACGGGAGTTGGTGGGCTTGCTCCCAGCCCCGCTGGGGATTGGGGCACAGGACCGAGGCTCCGGCACACTGCGTAGGGCTGGGGGCTACAGGCGCCCCAAGTCCAGGTGGGTCTTCCTTGACCTCCCAAACACACCACTTCTGTGAAGTCTTGAGTTGGGGCCTTGCCCGTGGCCATGGCTGCCCTTGGCTGGACTTGGTCCCACGCTGGGGGAGGCCTGTGCTCAAACCGCGAGGTGCTTAAGCTTCCCACCCAAAGAGGGGGCTGGCATTTCTCTCCCGACAGCCGCGTGCAGCGGGAAGCTGGAGCAGCACACGGAGCGGCGCGGCGTCATCTACAGCCCGGCCTGGCCCCTCAACTACCCGCCGGGCACCAACTGCAGCTGGTACATCCAGGGCGACCGTGGGGACATGATCACCATCAGGTGAGGGGGTTCTGAGGGCGTCAGAGGGGATCAGCGTGGGCCCACTCGTGCTGGGTGAGTGAGCAAATGTGTGAGTGCGTGTCCAAGCAGGTGCGGAGGGCGCAGATGAGAGTGTACATGTGTGAGTGGAGCATGGCATGTATGTGAGCATACATACATGCTTGTGACATGCACAAGTCCACGTCTGAGCAGGCAAAAAGGACACGTGTGAGTGCACACGTGAGCATATGTATGTGCACGATCATGTCTGCACAAGCGCAGGGGGCATGTGTGTGAGCAGGCGTGTGAGAGGACACGTGTGACTGTGTGTGACCTGTACGCATGTGTGTGCACATGTGAGCACGCAGGTGTGCCCAGCTCTTGGTCTCTGAGCCTCTGAGGTTGGGTGCCCCGAGCTGCACCTCTTCCTGCCCTGACCTCTTTCACGGGGCGTGGGCTCTCTGCCACCTCCCCATTGCCGGAAGGGAGGGCTGGCACACACACCACTAGGAACACACACTGGGAACTGGTGGGCCTGGTCCAGCTGTCTCGGAGGTGGCAGAGGTGGCCTCTCCGGCCTGCAGGGTGGCTTGAGGCCAGGCTGGCACTGAGCCCAGAGCCGGTTTCCCCACGGGGCCTCGGGGCAGGGGAGTGAGCTGGGCAGGGGGCGGGGTGCTTGACTTGCAGAGGGAAGCGGGGTGAGGCGACTAGGAGTGGCACTGCAGGGCTGGGACCCCTGGCCTGGGGTGGTCATGGGGCCATTTGGCCAGCAAGTCACTTGTGGGTTCTATCTGCCTAGTTCTCCTAAATGCCAAAGCCCGGAAGGCCCAACCCCTAGTTACTCCATAGCTCCCAAACAGGGGTGTGCATGGTCTGTCCTAGTCTCTGTGCCTCAGTTTCCCCATGGCTCTAGGCCAGGGGGTCCAGGGCCAGTGTTTCTCCCCAGGTGACAAGGTGTCACCCAGCTCACCCTCAGTGCCATGCCTGGGAGTTTCCTGTCCCAGCAGACCTAGTGGGAGGGATCTGGGCCCTTGGGCCTCCACCTTCAGGGCAGAGTGTCGGGGACTCCCGGCTCCCCCTTCCGCTTCGGCTTTGGGCTGAACAATGAAAAATGGGGGGACGTGCTAGAAGTTTGACGAGAGATGCCGCACGCACTAATGGAGGGGGGACTTGCACGGGTGTCGTGTTGTTCTTCAGGGAGCTGCGCGGAGACCTCTGGGTGGGCAGAGTGGCCGGGCGTGGAGGAGTCGGGCGGTTTGGCGGAACGGGCAGGGACGGAGGATGGGGTGGGGTTGGCCGTCCGGGCCGTGAGCTCCAGTCTGACCACTGCCGGTCCTCGGCCACGGGGGCCCGGCCTGCCCACCCGGCCCGCGGTCCTCTCTGCCCCCGCAGCTTCCGCAACTTTGACGTGGAGGAGTCCCACCAGTGCTCCCTGGACTGGCTCCTGCTGGGCCCGGCAGCTCCCCCGCGCCAGGAGGCCTTCCGCCTGTGCGGCTCCGCCATCCCGCCCGCCTTCATCTCCGCCCGCGACCACGTCTGGATCTTCTTCCACTCGGACGCCTCCAGCTCCGGCCAGGCCCAGGGCTTCCGTCTCTCCTACATCCGAGGTGACGCTGGCCGTGGGGCCGGGCGGGGACGGCCGTGGAGTCCTCAGCGCTCGTGTGTGGGCCCCTGGCTCCCTGTGGGGCTCCCTGCCCGGCCTGACAGTGTTGGGACGGTGGTGGCACCGGTCATACCGCTGTCCCCGGATGCTCTGAGCCTCTCAGGGTCACTGGCCCCACCTCACAGGCTTGACTCAGGGGGACTCTCCCCCGACCCCGGGCTTGGAAACTGAGCCCACCCTGGCGTTTGAAGGGTCTCTGCCCCTCAGGCGGCCATGGAGAGGCAGGGGCCCTTCTTGGTCCTGCCACTCCTGTCCCCGCAGAGGCACAGCTGGGAAGGGGAACCACCTGCCGCGCCTGGCCCAGGCCCCTGCGCTGGAGGGAGGCCCTGCTCCCCTCACTGTCTCCTGCCGCCCCTTTGCCCCGCAGGGAAGCTGGGCCAGGCGTCCTGCCAGGCAGACGAGTTCCGCTGTGACAACGGCAAGTGCCTGCCGGGCCCGTGGCAGTGCAACACCGTGGACGAGTGCGGGGATGGCTCTGACGAGGGCAACTGCTCCGCGCCGGCCTCCGAGCCGCCGGGCAGCCTGTGCCCCGGGGGCACCTTCCCGTGCAGCGGGGCGCGCTCCACGCGCTGCCTGCCGGTGGAGCGGCGCTGCGACGGCACGCAGGACTGCGGCGACGGCTCCGACGAGGCCGGCTGCCCCGACCTGGCGTGCGGCCGGCGGCTGGGCAGCTTCTACGGCTCCTTCGCCTCCCCGGACCTGTTCGGCGCGGCCCGCGGGCCCTCGGACCTTCACTGCACGTGGCTGGTGGACACGCAGGACACACGGCGCGTGCTGCTGCAGCTGGAGCTGCGGCTGGGCTACGACGACTACGTGCAGGTGTACGAGGGCCTGGGCGAGCGCGGAGACCGGCTGCTGCAGACGCTGTCCTACCGCAGCAACCACCGGCCCGTGAGCCTCGAGGCCGCCCAGGGCCGCCTCACCGTGGCCTACCACGCCCGCGCCCGCAGCGCCGGCCACGGCTTCAACGCCACCTACCAGGTGAAGGGCTACTGCCTCCCCTGGGAGCAGCCGTGCGGGAACGGCGCTGAGGGCGGCCCGGACCCCTCCGGGGACCAGGGCTGCTTCTCGGAGTCACAGCGCTGTGACGGCTGGTGGCACTGCGCCAGCGGCCGAGACGAGCAGGGCTGCCCCGCCTGCCCGCCCGACCAGTACCCCTGCGAGGGCGGCAGCGGCCTGTGCTACACGCCCGCCGACCGCTGCAACAACCAGAAGAGCTGCCCCGACGGCGCCGACGAGAAGAACTGCTTCTCCTGCCAGCCCGGAACCTTCCACTGCGGCACCAACCTGTGCATCTTCGAGACGTGGCGCTGCGACGGCCAGGAGGACTGCCAGGACGGCAGCGACGAGCACGGCTGCCTGGCGGCCGTGCCCCGCAAGGTCATCACCGCCGCGCTCATCGGCAGCCTGGTGTGCGGCCTGCTGCTCGTCATCGCCCTGGGCTGCGCCTTCAAGCTCTACTCGCTGCGCACGCAGGAGTACAGGTGGGTGCCGCCCGCGGCCCGGCCCCGGCTCCGCACCGCCCCGGGCTCGTGGACCGGGGCCCGGCCATCCACGTACGGGCCGCCCCGTCCACGCCGGGTCCCGCGTGTTGCGATTCCGGGTGGAGGTGGGTCCCCGAGTCCTGTTGCCACAGCAGGTCCCGGCAGCCCCGCCATGCCGCCCTCCGCGCTTGCTCCCAGGGCCTTCGAGACCCAGATGACGCGCCTGGAGGCCGAGTTCGTGCGGCGGGAGGCGCCCCCATCCTACGGCCAGCTCATCGCCCAGGGCCTCATCCCCCCTGTGGAGGACTTTCCCGTCTACAGCGCGTCCCAGGTGAGCCCCCACGGGGCCCAGGCCCCCAGCTGGATCTCAGAGAAGACCCGAGATGGGGGCCAGGGGGCTGGGTGGGACGGCGTGTGGGAAGGGGGGGAGGGGCCTGGGCAGCGTGACCTGGGGGGTCGGGTGGGGGGCCCAGGTGGTCTTGGGCTCTCTGGGGCTGTGCTGACCTCTGCCGCTGAGCGGCCTGGCCACCCCCTCAGCCGCCGCCCCGCCCTGCAGGCCTCGGTGCTACAGAACCTCCGCACGGCCATGCGGCGACAGATGCGCCGACACGCTTCCCGCAGGGGGCCCTCCCGCCGCCGCCTGGGTCGCCTCTGGAACCGGCTCTTCCACCGGCCACGGGCACCCCGAGGCCAGATCCCGCTGCTGACCGCCGCGCGCACCTCACAGACAGTGCTGGGCGACGGGCTCCTCCAGCCCGCAGCAGGGGCGGCTCCGGACCCCCCGGCGCCCCTTACGGACACAGGCAGCCCCCGGGCGGCTGGGGTCGGACCCTCTAGTGCCCCCGGCCACGCATCCGGGGTGGGACCTTCAGTCCCACCCCCACCCTGCGGCCTGCGAGACTCAGAGTGCAGGCCTGTGGACAAGGACAGAAAGGCCTGCAGGGACCCTCTGGTGGACAGCCCGGCCGCTGCGGACACGGCTCGGGAGCCTTGCTCGGCCCAGGACCCCCACCCCCAGCCCCCCACTGCCAGCAGCACCCTCGGCCCCCGCTCGCCAGAGCCACTGGGGGTCTGCAGGAGCCCCCCGCCACCCCGCTCCCCGATGTTGGAGGCCAGTGACGACGAGGCCCTGCTGGTCTGCTGACCCGCCAGGCACGCTGGTGACCGCCACAGCCCCGCTTTGTAACCAGGGAATACACAGTCGTTTCTACCCTGCCTCTGCGTCCTTTCTTACCGAGGGGCCCACCCCGCAGCCCCGGCCAGCTGGCCGCATCAGCACAGGCCCCTGGAGGGCACGGTGGCGGGGGCTCCGGGGGATCGGCCAGGGCGAGAGGGTGGAGCGGTGGGCCCACCCTCTGCAGGGTCCCAGGCACCTGGGGCTCCGTCCCACCTCCCCACTCCATCCTGGGAGCCATTTCCAGAGGAGCAGGCCCCTGGCAGGGCTGTCGGAGCGTCTTCTGTGGCTTCTCGATGAGAACACCCTGCGGTGCACCAGCCCCCTCGCAGCCGTGCGGGAGTCGCAGAGAGGACCAAAGAGGGCTGAGCAGGCCCCTGGAGAGCTGGGCTAGGAGGCTTGTGTCCCCAGGCTCATGCTTTCGGTGGCGGCACGGGCCGGCCAGGCTGGCGCTCTCTGCCCTCCAGCTGAGAGGTCCATCTCCCGGCGCCGTGGCAGGGCTGGGAACGTGTGCACGGGGTAGAGGAAGCCCACGGGGTCTCTTGGAGGGCCTGAGGCCTCCAGGACATGCTGCTCTACGCTTTCTCAGGGGACAGAGGCCGAGGCACCGACTGACAGTGGCCAGGTCCACTCTATCCTGTGGCAGGGCCTCAGTCTCCCCACCTGTAAACTCGGGGAGACTGTGGGCTCTGAAGCCCTGACATGCACCCCACGGTGACTCCTGGGAAGACAATCCCCGCCGTGAACCCCAGGCTCTCCTGGGTGGCTGAGCTCTGGGTGCATCACGGGGCCTGGGGGAGTGGCAGACTGAGTGGCTGCCCCCTCCTCAATGTCCCCGTGGGGCAGGCTTGCTCTGGGTCCGCGGCAGAGAGTGCCTGGGTTAAGTGGCACAGCCCCCAAACGCTGAGAGCCTCCCCGAGCCTGCCCTGCACCTTCCCAGCCAGCTCCAGGCGCCGCCGCCCCCTCCAGGCTGTAACCCCTGCCAGGGACTCCCCCGAGCACAAGCGACAACCAGCCCTGTTTATTCACAGGCCCTTGCGGGAAAGCTAGCAGGGCAGCGCTAAGACAGGAAGCCCAGTCCGCATCTTCAGGGCTTCCTTACGACAGGCCTCTACGAGTCGGATCTTTTTTTGTTTTTTTTACAGAAAAAAAAACACTTTTTTTGCAAAAACACCTCCTCAATAAACAACATGTAAACAGAAACAGCTGCTTCAGTCTCTAGAAACGCCTCATTGTGCGTTCGAGGGCTTGTCCGTGGCGGGCGGCAGGGCGGGCTGGCAAGGGCCGCTTTCGTCCTCCTCGGGGGAGTCTTGGGGGTAGACCACGAAACACAGCTCCTGGCCCCAGCGTGTCATGGACTCTGAGGACAGACAGATGGGTCTTGGGGCCTGGCCCCTGGGGACGGAGGCTACCCCACCTCCGGACACCTCCCCTGGGCAACACTCGGTGGTGGCTGGCTTGTGTCACCACCTCAGCTGTTGGGAGACCCGGCTGTGGGAGGAGCCTCTGAGAGGGCCCCATCTCCAGGCTCTGGCCACCCGGGGAAGGCTGCCCGGCTCACCTGTGAGTCTGTGCACGCACTTTGGTTTGCTCTTCCAGAACACCCCCAGGAAGAAAATGGGCACCCCCGTGAGGATGATGATGATGCCGACCCCACAGACCATGGGCTCCGAGATGAAGCTGAAGACCAGCAAGAATGCCCAGAAGACCAAGTACGCGACGGGGACGAGCAGGTTCACCTGGGGAAGAGGGAACGGGGACGCCATGGTGCTCCCCTGCCCCTACCCCGGGGGCCTGAGTTGCGTTCCTCTCTCTCCTGGGAGCTGGGGCCCGCGGGGGTCCCTCTGGCACAGCCCAGCGCGCTGGAAGCCAGTTCGTAGGTTGGTCAGTGGCCACACTGTGGCGGAGTTGTCGGTTTCTGCGGCTCTGAGCCCCATGCAGTGGCTGCGTGCAGCCTTGGTGCTTGCACTTGGCTGGAGGTCAGCGCACTGAGCGCTTCTCCACTTAAGGATTTATATGCAAATACAGGGGCTTTTCTTTTAGCTCGGGCTGTGGCCTGGTCTTCTGCTTTTGTGTGGGCTAGTGGTGGAATCCTGGCTCCGTCCCTGGCAGCCCGTGTGAACTGGAGTATTAAAAGCACCCTCCTCCTGGGGCTGCCGTGAGGACTGAGTACGTTAGCGCGTGTGACGCCCTGAGCAGGGCCCAGCGCTCGGCAAAAGCTGGCATTGCCGTCCCTGTCATCACCCGCCCCTGCCCCTGGCACCCGCAGCAGATGACGGGCGGCTCCGCCGGTTTCTGACGCGTCGGCTGTCCCGGCCGCCCCCGGGCCTCACCTTGATGGGCCTGTGCAGGGCCGGCCGCCTCCAGCGCAGCACCAGCAGGCCCAGGACGGTGACGCCGTAGCAGAGGTAGTTGATGAAGGACACGTAGTTGATGAGGGTGTACGTGTCGCCCACAAGCATGATGACCACCGTGGCCCCGCACTGGGAGAGGACCTGGGGCTGACAGCTGGCCTCCCACCTGCCTCCTGCCGTCCCCATGGGCTGCCCTGGGCCTGCGCCCTCGGGCCAGGAGGTCAGGGGAGCCCCGGCCCCTCCTCACACCCCCTGCAGGCTGCCCGCCACCGCCAGCGGCTCATCCCTGCCATTACCCAGAAAGCCTCACATTGCAAGGTGGCCCTGGCTCCACGCAATGCCTGGCCTGAGTCCCCCAACTTACACAGACGAGGAGGGCAGGGATAGGGGTGCAGTGTCTGACATGGATCATGGCCAGCAGGCTGGGCAGGTGCCCTTCTCGGGCTCCAGAGAAGCACAGCCTGGGGGGCGGGGGGGACAGAGATGGGTACCAGCCACATCCCGGACCTGATGTCCCTCTAGAGCTGTCACCTCCGACCTCCTGCTCCAGGACCCAGCAACACCACTGGGCAGTTCTTCCCCTGAGCTAGCCCACCTCCCTCTTGCTTTCTTTCCCTGGAGCTGGATCAGACATTTGTCACTGGTGGGTACATCATCCCAGCTTCAGGTGACTCCTCTACCCGGCAGGGTCTCCCTTCCTTGGGCCCCTCCCAGCACCACTTGGCATGGCTGGCGCACACCTGGGCACCTGCCTTTCCTCCCCACGCCCACCCTCTCCCCAGTCCAGTCACCTGGAGGAGGTGAACAGGTAGCCGTTGATCCCTCCAAACGTGGATAGTGCCACGGAGACGGGCATGACCCACGCAAAGTAGCCCAGCAGCTTCTCCCCGAAGGTCTGGTGGGCACAGAAGAGAGGCCATGTGTGCGGCTGGGGCGGGGGCCAGGGCAGGGACTGGGGACCAAGCAGGGGCCCCCACTCACCACGGCCACTGCGTTGGAGGACAGCAGTTCCTGGGGGGACATGGCCGTGAAGTAGGCGACGTTGGTCAACGTGTACACGAAGGTCACCAGTGGGATGGAGATGAAAATGGCGCGAGGTAGGTTCCTGGGGGTGGCAGTGGGGTGTGTCAGCGTCAGCCCCCGGGAGGTGCAGGACTCAGGGGACCTAGCCACAGGAGCAGCCTTGAGTCTCATCTCCTGCATCTGCTGGGGGCGCTGGGGAAGGAAAGGGGGCGGCCTGCTGCCCAGGACGCAGGGACCCTGCTGTCTGCCTCCTCCCCCGCCCCTGCCTGGGCACGGGGAAGGTGGATGGTCCACGTCACATCCCAAGGGCAGAGGCTGATGTCTACACGTAACCACTGAATCACACACAGCCAAAATCAGCCTGGGAAGTCCCCAAAGTGCCCTCAGAGCCGGTCCATAGCTGGGGTCTCCCCGGGACTCTGGTCCCCGCCCACCCGGCCGCAGCAGTTCACTGTCGAGCGTCAGAGTCACTGGCTTCGTCAGCAGGGACCACACCGTGTGCTTCTGTGTAACTTGTGGCCAAATGCAAATCGCTGCAAATCTATCTACAGCAGGACGGTGACACTCAGTCTTTCTGGGGCCCAGCGAGGGCTGTGACGTGTCCACGGCAGCACAGAACAGGGCCGGGCGGGAACGCGAGCGTCCCGGCTTTCTTCCCAGAGCCCTCCCTGGGGGGCGCGGGTGTGGTCAGCCGGGTGCCCAGTCCGAGCCAGGGCTGCAGCGGGTCTGCCCTTCCTTCCCAGTGCCTGGCCGGGGGCCCCACTCACTTTCGGGGGTCAACCAGCTCCTCGGTGACATAGTTGAGGAAGTTCCAGCCGCTGAAGGCGAAGGAGCCCTGGAGGAAGGCCAGGGCCAGGTGACCCACGGAGGGTGTCGTCCAGAAGGCGAAGGCACTGCTGGGCCGCAGCTCCTCGATGTGGCCTGGGGGCCCAGGGGTCAGGGGTCAGCACGGTCTCCGGGCCCCGCCCACACGCCCACCCGGCCCTACCTTGGAAGATCTGGATGAAGCCCACGCCGATGATGAGCGACAGCGCCAGCAGCTTCCCGCCCGTGAAGACGTCCTGGATGCGCGTGGCCCAGCGCACGCTGGAGCCGTTCACCCAGGTCAGGAGCGCTGTGGAGCGAAGCAAGGCCGGGCGCCTGGGCCAAGAGCCCTCACGCCGGGCCGCGGCACGGGGACCCCAGCCCCTGACGCCGCTGTCCCCCCGACACGGGGCCGTGGGCTGCTCTGGGACAGAGGCCCAGCCCTGAGCCCCGGGGCACTCACTCAGGCAGGCCATGGACAGCACTCGAGAGGCGGCGGCCGGGGGGACGCAGTTGGGGAACACGGGCTGCAGCACGTAGTTGGAGAAGGTCATGGAGATGACAGCCAGGCTGGTGGGGTACATGATGAGGACGGCGCTCCAGAGCAGCAGGAAGCTGGAAGGAGCGAGGGCCGGGGTGGCGCAGGCATCCGGGGCTCCCCCAGCTGCCAGCGGCCGCTCTGGTCCGGGCAGGCCGGGTCGGCCTGGTCGAGGCCTTGCTGCTGCGTTTACGGACTATTTTAACGGAGGAGGTGTTAAAGGTACCTATACAGCGACAGGGTTGCCCCTGGGCAGGTGTTGGGAAGGACAATGGAACCAGACGTCTTTCTCCCATCCAAGTACTGACCAGGCCCGACCTTG